AACAGCAGCAAAAGCAACAACAGCAGCAGCAGCAACAGCAGCAGCAGCAGCAGCAACAGCAGCAAGAGCTGCAGCAGAACGCCACGGCGATCCCTCAGCTGCAGCAGACATCAGATCAGCTATGCGAAGAAAGGCAGCAGCAGCAGCTCCAAAGAGGCAGCAGCAGCAGCAGCAGCGGCAGCAGCAGCAGCAAAGACTGCAGCAGCAGCAGCAGCAGCAGCAGCAGCAGCACAAGCGTGGACCGAAAGGGAGAGCTAACGGCAACAACACGAACAGCAGCAACAGCAGCAGAAGAACCAGCAGCAGCAGCAGCAGCAGCAGCAGAACCGACAGCAGCAGCAGCAGCAGCAGCAGCAGCAGGCGAAGCAGTTTTCTAGATGAACAACCACAAGTCAACAGCAAATGCAGCAGCAGCAGCAGCAGCAGCAGCAGCAGCAGCAGCAGCAGCAGCAGCAGCAGCAGCAGCATCTCTAACATAGAGCTGCAGCGCTTGGAGCGGTCCTGTCGTATGCTGCGGCGAACAGCAGCAAAGGACCGCAGCAGCAGCAGCAGCAGCAGCAGCAGCAGCAGCAGCAATGAGAGCAACTGCAGCAGCAACGGAGAGACTGGCGTTGACGGGCTGCCTGTAAGCTCGTCTGCTGCTGCTGCTGCTGCTGCTGCAGCACCTGCTGCTGCTACTGCTGCTGCTGCATCTACTGCAGCACACGTAGCTCGCATAGGTGCTCCTGCTGCACCTGCTGCTGCTGCTGCTGCTGCACCTGCTGCTGCTGTAGCAGCAAAATGTTTGGGGGCCGAGACACTCCCTCCTAAACTCCCTGCCGCTGCAGCAGCAGCGGGAGCTGCTGCTGCAGTTCCTGCAGCAGCACCTGCAGCAGCTCCTGCTGCAGCTCCTGCTGCAGCTCCTGCTGCTGCGCCTGCTGCTGCTCCTGCAGCAGCACCTGCTGCTGCTCCTGCTGCAGCTCCTGCTGCAGCTCCTGCTGCTGCACCTGCTGCAGCTCCTGCTGCAGCTCCTGCTGCTGCTGCACCTCTTCCTACTGCTGCAGCTCCTGCTGCTGCAGCTTCTGGTGCTGCAGCTCCTGCTGCTGCAGCTCCTGCTGCTGCAGCTCCTGCTGCTGCAGCTCCTGCTGCTGCAGCTTCTGCTGCAACAGCTGGTGCAGCAGGAGGTGCAGCAGCAGCGCCAGCAGCAACTGGTGCTGCTCTAGCTCCAGCTGCTACAGCTCCTGCTGCTGCACCTCCTGCTGCTGCAACTCCTGCTGCTGCAGCTCCCGCTGCTGCAGCTCCTGCTGCAGCGCCTCCTGCTGCTTCTGCTGCTACAGCAGCTTCTGCTGTTCCCGATGCTGCAGCTTCTGTCGCTGCAGCAGCACCGCCTGCTGCCTCCCACAGCAACAGCAACAACACCAACAGCAACAGCAGCAGCAACAACAGCAGCAGCAGCAGCAGCGGCAGCAACGAAGGGGAGGGGAGCTCATCTAGCAGCGCGTTTGTAGCGCCACAGCAGCAGCAGCAACAGCAGCAGCAGTCACAGCAGCAGCTGCAGCAGCAACAGCATCAACAGCAGCAGCAGGTGCAGCAGCACCAACATCAGCCTCAGCACCAGGAGCTGCAGCAGCAGCAGCAGCAGCAGCAGCAGCAGGTGCTGAGCCCTCCAGAGGAGGTGAAGGATGAACAGCAGCAAGACAAACAGCAGCAGCAGCTACTGCCCGAGCAGCAGCAACAGCAGCAGCAGCAACAACAGCAGCAGCAACAGCAGCAGCAACAGCAGCAGCAACAGCAGCAACAGCAGCAGCAACAGCAGCAGCAACGGCTTCCTCCGAAGCTGCACAGTGAAGAACAGCGAGCTGATGAGAAGAGGCAGCAGCAGCAGCAGCAGCAACAGCAAAAGCAGCAGCAGCAGCAACAGCATCAACAACAGCAGCAGCAGCAGCAGCAGCAGAAGCAGCAACATCAACAGCAGCAGCAGCAGCAGCAGCAAGGACAAAACCCGCTGCTAGCAAGTGCGCGTAGTGCTGCGCTGCTGCTGCTGCTGCAGCAGCAGCAGCAACGGCACCTTCAAGCAGCAGCAGCGCAGCAGCTGCAGCAAGACATCTCGCCGCAGCTGCAGCAGGAGGCGCTGCGTTTGTTGCTGCTGCAGCAGGGGCAGCAGCAGCAACAGCAGCAGCAGCAGCAGCAGCAGCAGCAGAATCCATATCAGCAGTCGCTGCAGCAGCTGCTGCAGACCCCAATGCTGATGCGGCAGCAGCTGCTGCAGCAGCTTCTGCTGCAGATGCAGCCGCCAGAAGCGCAGCAGCAGCAGCCGCAGCAGCAGCAGCAGCAGCAGCAGCAGCAGCAGCGGGTTATGCCTTCGTCGGCAGCAGCTACTCCAGCAGCTGCAGCAGCAGCAGCTGCTGCTGCATTGAAGAGCAGTGCTGCTGCATCCTTCGCAGCAAGAGCAGCAAATGCAGCAGCAGCAGCAGCGGCAGCTGGTAGACGCGCTGCTGCTACTGAAGCAAGTGTAGGGATAAAGGCTGCTGCTGCTGCTGCTGCAGTCCAACAGCAGCAGCAGCAGCAGCAGCAGCAGCAGCAGCAGCAACGACAGCAGCAGCAGCAGCAGAAACCCAACGCTGGCGTTCCTGCTGCTCCTCCCATTACAATTGTCCTAAGCGACGATGACTCCAGCAGCAGCAGCAGCAGCAGCAGCAGCAGCAGCAGCAGCAGTAGCAGCAGCAGCAGCAGCAGCAGCAGCTGAAGAGGATGCAGCAGCAGATGGCTTCGAGGGCCGCTGCAAGAGGAAGCAGCAGCCCACTCCTGCTGCTGCTGCTGCTGCTGCTGCTGCTGCTGCTGCTGCTGCTGCTCGGTACCGCCGCATTGCTGCTGTTGCTTCGGCAGCAAGAGCCCTTCCAGGGCAGAAAGCAGCAGCAGCAAGAGCTGCGTCGCCTATTCATGCTGCAGCAGCAGCAGCAGCTGCTGCTGCTGCTGCTG